TTATGCCTTGGTGCTGTCCTTGTGGTGGTGCATAAGTTCTTGAAAGATCTGCTTGTTGTAAAGTGTGGCACCTCCCCACCCACTTTCTCTCTTACTCCTGCTTTTGCCATGTGACGTGCTTACCCCTACTTTTACCTTTCCCGATGAGCAAAACCTCCCTGAGACCTCTTCAGAAACCAAGAAGATGCCTGTGCCATGCTAGCACAGCTTGCAGAACCATGAGCCAATGACATCTCTTTTTTTTATAAATTACCCAGTCTCAGGCATTTCTCTGTAGTAATGCAAGAATGGCCTAATACAGAAAATTAGTACTGAGGAGTAGCACATTGCTATAAAGATACCTGAAAATGTGGAAACAATTTTGGAACTGGAAAATGGGAAGCTGGAAGAGTTTGGAAGGTTCAGGAGAAGATAAGAAGATGAGGGAAGCTTGGAACTTCTTAGAGACTGGTTAAATGGTTGTGACCAAATACTGATAATAATATGGACAGTGAAGGCCAGGCTGATGAAATCTCAGACAGAAATAAAAAAGTTACTGGGAACTGGAGTAAAGGTCACCCTTGTTATGCCTTAGCAAACAGCTTGATTAGCAAAGAGCTTGGCTGCATTCTGCCTATGCCCTAGGGAATCTGTGAAAATTTGAACTTGAAAGTGATGTTTTATGGTATGTGATGGAAGAAATTTCTAAGGAGCAGAGTATTTAAGAAGTGGCAAGGCTGCTTCTGACAACATACACTCAGATGTGGAAGCAAATAAATGACTTAAGTTGAAAGGTATATTTAAGGGAAAAGAAGAGTGTACAAGTTTGGAAATTTTGCAGCCTGGTCATATGGCAGAGAAAGAGAAAACTTCTTCAGGAGAGGAATTCTTGCAGGCTGTGGAGCAACGACTTACTATAAGATTTATGCAATACAAAAGCTAGGTGCTGATAGCCACATATATGGCACAAAGGCCTTGAAGGCATTTCAAAGATATCTGAGGCACTCCCTTCCATCACAAGCCTGGAGGCCTAGGAGGATTAAATGGTTTTGTGGACCAGGGCCAGGGTGGTGCTGTCCTGCACAGCCTTGAGACTCTGCTCCCTGCATCCAGGCAGCTTCAGCTTCATCTGTGGCTCAAAGGGCTCCAGTACAGCTAGGGCTGCTGCTTTGGAAAAGGCAAACCACCATAAGTCTTGGTAGCTTCCATGTAATATTAAGTCTGCCAGTCCATAAAGTGCAAGAGTGAAGGGAGTTTGGCAACCTCTACTTAGATATCAGAGGATGTATGAGAAACCCTGGGTGCCCAAACAGAAGCCTGCTGCAAATGCAGGCTCTCACTGATAACCTCTATTAGGGCAGTCTGGAGGAGAAATGTGAGCTTGGAACCCTGACACAGAGTCATCACTGGGGCACTGCCTAGTAGAGCTGTGAGAAGGGGGTCACTTTCCTCCAGACCCCAAAATGGTAGATCCACTGGCAGTTTGCACCCTGTGCTTGGAAAAATCTTTAGGCACCTGTGAGAGCAGCTGCAAGGGCTGAACTCTGCAAAACCACAGGGGTGGAGCTGCCCAAGGCCTTGAGAGCTCACCCTTTGCACCAGTGTATCCTGGATGTGGGACATTAAGTCAATAGAGATTATTTTGGAGCTTTAAGATGTAATGACTACCCTGGGATTCAAACTTGCATGGGACCTATAGCCCCTTTCTTGTGGCCAATTTCTCCCTTTTGGCACAGGAATGTTTACCCAATGCATGTACCACCAATGCATCAGGGAAGTAGCTAACTTGTTTTTGATTTTACAAGCTCATAGGTGGAAGGAATTTACCTTGTCTCGGATGAGACTTTGGACTTTTGAACGAATTCTGGAATGATTTAAGACTTTGGAGGAAGGTATGATTCTACTTTATAATGTGAGAAGGATGAGATTTGGGGGTACAGGGAGTATAACGGTATAGTTTGGATATATCTCTTGCTCAAATCTCATGTTAAATTGTGATCCCCAGTGTTGGAGGTGGGGTCTGGTGGGAGGAGTTTGAGTCATGGGGAAGGATCTCTTATAGTTTGGTGCTGTCCTCACCAAAGTGAGTTTTCACATGGTCCAGTCATTTAAAAGTGTGTGGCACCTCCCCGCAACCTCTTGCTCCTGCTCTGCCATGTGAGATACCTGCTGTGGCTTCACTTTCTGCCATAAGTAAAAGCTCCCTGAAGCCTCCCGAGAACCAGAGCAGATACCTGTGCCATGCTTGCACAACTTGCAAAACCATAACCCAGTTAAACTTCTGTTCTTTGTAAATTACACAGTCTCAGGTATTTGTTTATAGCAATATAAGAATGGCCTAACACACATTGTAAATATTACATGAGAGTCAAGACTAGAACTCTTGCTGCTTACTCCTAATCTCAGATCTCTTCACATATAATCAATATGAATTTGTGAATAAATTATATATTTGGCTTCAAGACACAGCAACTAATTCTAGATAACTCAAAGAAAAAGAAGCCTCATTATAAGCATAAAAGAGAGTCATGTTTCCTTGAAGTAAAGATACAACTGAGACAGCATGATACTGGGACTCAGGTAAAAAAAAAAAAAAAAAAAAAAAAAAAAAAAAAAAAAACACGTTAATTTTATCTTGATCTGTTTAATCTTCTCCCAGACTTGTAACTGTCCTCACTTTTTCAGTCCACTTAGAAAGAATAAGAAAGGGAAAGATACCCATGTCATCATAAAATCTGGATTTAAGTTCTAATAACCCAAAATTATCTCCCCCTCTCTCTCTCCACCCCAAACTCTCAGGAAGAAACTATAACTAGACCAGTTTTGATCAGGCATCTCTGTTTAATTCAATCAGCAGTGAGAAATATGTGTATATAGTCACACTATTAAAAATGGTTGGCAGGGGCTCCCAGTAAAGTGAGGTCACTGGAGAACATTACTTCAAATGGTATTTATCACACTCTGACTGTATTATAAAGAATTTTTCTACTTTCAGATGGGAGGAAAGGCCACGTCTCTGTTTATCAATAAAGGCTCTAGACCAGCACAGAAGAGAAGCAGGATGATCAATTCCTTGGATTGCCTGAAGAGCAAACCCATGCCTCCTCCTGAGCAATGCCCATCAAGCAGAGAAAACTAGAGGGAGTGCCTTAGGTCTCTCCATTAGTTCATATCCAACCTGGTGACTTCTAGTCCTCCAGAGTCTTTTGCTCAGGCAAAAGGAAGACTGTCACATGAAGAAGATTAAGAAGACTCATTCACAGGTTGTGATTTCATTTAAAATCTGAGAGCCTGACTCTCTGGGATGCACCACTCTTAATAAACTTAGAATGAATTCAACATTTTATAATAAAAATGTCCCTTAGGTGGGTACAGTTAACAAAGCACCTCTATTGCTCTGATCTCATTTGATTCTCACAGCAACTTTTTATCACGGGAAGGGTAGGAAAAGCTGTTTGTTTCCCTATTTCACACATGAGTCTACTGAGGTTCATAGAGGCTCACAGCATCATGAGGTAGTTTGTGCCATTTCGATTAGATGCCATGTCTCTTTATTCCCAATCCAATGCTCTTTTCTATTATACCACAATTTTTACCTTGTAAGATCCCTCTCCTATTTCTTTCTTTTCTTAAATTTTATTAACCACCCCTCTCTGGCTTCTCTTTATCACCTTAAATATATTTTTCCTTCTAGGACATCAAATTATTTGCTATAATTGAGTCTCTTTGTTTATAACCATGTTTTCCCTTTCATTGCCTAGTGTTTCATTTGGAGATATGCAGTCAACATTACAACAGGTATCTACTTTTCAACATGTGAGAAGCTCATCTGATGAAATTACAATTCCTAGCTAAAAGGGGCAATCAGAATAAAGTATACACTGAAGAGAGACCCATGCCTGCATTGGATTACCTTGGTTGCTTGTCAGAATGTTATTACCCAAACTCCTTTCTCCCTTTCTCATCTCTTTATCTGTCTTAGCTGTTCAAGCATTACTATAAAGAAATACCTGAGAAGGGGTAAGTTTGAAATAAAAGAGGTTTAAATGGCTTACAGTTTGGCAGGCTGTACAAGCATGGTGCTGATGTCACTTGGCTTCTGGGGAGGCCTCAGGTAGTTTTTACTCAAGGTGGAAGGCGAAGTGGGAGCAGGCATGTCACATGGTAAATGCAGGAGCAGGCGAGAAAGAGCAGAGGGAGAGATGCCATACACTTTTAAACAACCAGAACTTATGAGAATGCAGAGTGAGATCCCACTTACCACCAAGGGGGCGGCCCAAGTGATTCATGAGGGATCAACCCTCATGATCCAAACACCTCCCACCAGGCCCGACGTCCAGCATTGGGGGTTATATTTACATATGAGATTTGGACAGGGACAAATAACCAAGTTACATATCCCTAATTTTTTCTCTGCAAAATTGTTTTTCAGAATTTGTTTTACAGTTGAAATGTGAAGAAATGGTACCCCCAACAATTTTTTTTTTTTTTTGACAGAGTCTTACTCTGTGCCCTAGGTTGGAGTACAGTGACACAATCTCGGTTCGCTGCAACCTCTGCCTCCTGAGTTCAAGTGATTCTCATGCCTCAGCCTCCCATCATAGCTGAGATTATAGGCGGCTACCTCCATGCCTGGCTAATTTTTGTAGAGACCAGGTTTCACCATGTTGGCCAGGCTGGTCTTGAATTCCTGGCCTCAAGTGATCAGCCTGCCTTGGCCTCCCACAGTGCTGAGATTACAGGCCTGAGCCACTGAGCCAGGACCCAACATCTTTATTTTTAAAATTCAGTGGCTTGGTATTGGAGAGAGCCAGTTGTGTGTGACTCACTGTCACACAATGCTGCTACCATTTCCCAGGAAAGGGGTTCTTCTCTATAGCCATCTTTGGACATGCATGTTTCTGAAATTTCCTGAAGTTGGGAAACAGGACAGAACTGGTGAAGTTTTTAGATATACTAGTATCCAGGTAACGGACACAGGAAGTAAAAACAAAGGCTCTTTGGATATCTGAATTCACCAGAATAAAGCTTGGAATTCTGAACGTGTAATGCTGGAGCCAGGACCAACTGCAAAGATCCTTTGGCATTGTGCTGTCAAGGAAACTGAGGTAATAATGTACAACAGAGGGAATTGCTGAGAGTCACCTGCAACATCCCAGTTCGGCAAGGTGTGCAGTAAACCTTGCTCTGTCACTTTGGTTTACAAGCTGCTGCCCCTTTGTATTGAAATGAAGCATGCAGGAAGACTCAGTGAAATTACCTTTGAAAATTTCCAGCTAGGTTGTACCCTCCTAATACCAGGTTTAAAAGCACAGGGTGGTTGTAAAGAATGTTTCCAAAGGGTGGGCTGTGGGGATGGTGGAGTTGGTGATGGAAAGGAGAGAGATGGAAAGAAATGGTTTTTATGATGAGATTCTCACCGGGAGCTAAAATCATCCAGCGGGGTGGAAGGGGGGAGTTGTGTTTAATGTCTGTTAAATTCTGGATAGCTATTTAAGCTGGGAGTGGTGAATTCATGGGGTATACTGGGTCTCTTGGAAGATGGTTCAACCTTTCCTTTGTCCTTCCCCTAGAAGAAACCAAGAAGAAGGGGAAGGTATGGAAATGGATGGGTGGGTGAGGTTTAACACAATTTTGAAGTCTACCAAAACACAAATCTTTCTGCTGAACAAATCATGGTGTTTCCTGGGCACCAACCTAGGAAAGTGAGTCTAATAATGTGGCGATCTGTGCAGCACCAAAGAGCATTTGATTTGGAGTGGCAGCGGGAGGGTAATCCAGAAAACCTTGCCTCAACTTATAATAAAGGAGTGGTGGGTCTATTTATTAACATGGTAATAATGGGCCAGTAAACATTAAAAGATCTTGACTGTATGCTGGGCACTGCCCCTGGCACTTGCCCTCAATTATTTCATCTATTCATTACCTCAAACCTATCTGTGAAAGTAAGTATTGTTATCACTGTGATAAAAATGCATAGGATTAGAAAAGTTAACTAATTACCAAGATCACAAAACTGGCAGTGGAGAAGCAGCATTGTGATTCAAGTTAATCTGTTCCAAGACCTGTGCCCAGTAATAGATACAAGTAATTTCATGGTATTCTTGCATAACAAAAACAGCCTGATTTTTGAAGCCCAGTTCTATGTCCTGTCTGAATCCTGAATCTGCACTTCTAACTTGTATAATACTAGATCTATTTCTAACCTTTTGGTTAGAAATCAAAAGTGCTCAAGAAAATCAGTCAGTAGATGGGAATCAGACAGGGCTGGGTAAATAGTGAAGTATGGTGAGAAGAGAAGGATCAAACAAAATGGCTGTGAAAGAACAAAACAGTGTTGAGAAACCAAGCAGGCAAGCTGAGTATAAAAAGCTCATGGTTATGACAAAGAATTCACTTTAACAAGCTTGTTTTTCCATTCTCTCCCCCCAGCTGATCTGATGACAATCTCATTCCAACTAAATTCTCTTGTGTCGTAAATCTCTGTTTTTCCATCTCATTTTTTCTCACCTATTTTATTTTTGTTCCATTAAACATCACCTCCTCTTCCTTCCTGACCACTTCATTTTCTGCCTGGCCTTGAGATGCTCCCCAAGCATCTCAACAGCTTGACTTCTTCCTCTGCTAGGGGACTAATAGCTTTTTGTTGATCTACTGGCCATCTGGAAGCCAGAGCAGGCTCTACCCCACACAGGACCCAGGAAGAGAAACCAGTGTAGGTGGCATGAGGAGGCAGAAACAAGGAAGAAGAAGAAATAAGGAAAGCCAGGGAATATAATAAGGAGATGACAGAAATAAAGCAAAATGAGAGGAAAATAGGATGGAAAGAATAAAGATAGAAAAGCTTGTATTTCAAAGATAAAGGAAGATTCATAAGATAAAATGAGAGGTAGAAAGTAAAAACGCATAGGAGAGAGGGAGAGAAAGAGAGGGTAAATAGAAGGGGGGAGATACAAAAATTTCACAAAGTGAAGGGAGAGGAAAAAAAAAGAAAGAAAAGCTGAGAAAAAGTAAAGTCTATATATAGTAAAGGAAAGACACCCGAGGTGGGGAGGAAGGAAATTAGGCTGAAAGGGATGAAAAAGCAAAATGAAGTAATCAAACTAGTTGAGAAAGCAGTGAGAGACATAGCCGGCAGAAAGAAATACTGAGAGAAAAGGAAAACAAACCCAGCGGGAAGAAGATAGATGTAGGCAAAACAAGATTGAGGGAGATTCTTAGATAAAATGAAAAGACTGTGTTTTCAAGTCGATCTTTTCCCTTGCCTCTACAAAGACATCATTTCATTTAACAACAAATGTGTGCATTAAAATAGCTGAAAAACAAGTAATGCCGTAGAGCTGTGCATGCAGGGGATATTGTTTGGTCAGCAATGTCTCTCAGGAGACCCCAGGATTTCATTTAAGCTTTAGGAACTATACAAACATCATCATAATAGCTAATATTAACTGGAAATGTACTATGAACTCGCACTGTGTTTAGCACGTTGAACAGTAATTTGCATGTAATTCTCACAACAAGCTTATGAAATAGTTGCTATCAATATCTTTGTTGGTCAATGAGGATAGGGAGGCTTAGAGAGGTTAAAATAATTTGCCTAAGGCTGCACAGCTTTAGGTGCCAGGCCCAGAATGAAATCAGGTAGTGAAACTCCCTAGCCCATGCTGTTAACCACTTACTTTCCAAAAAGAAAAAAAAAAAAAAGCCATGGTGTCTGGAAACAGGGCTCAGAACTGGACAAATTCAACCATGTTGGCTGAGTCCCACTGTGTATTTGGCACTAAGTTAGTGGCCAGGAGACAGTCAGAGATAAATAAAACGTGATCTTGGCTTCCAAGAAGGTAATGAGGCAGGGCTGGGGAGAAGATATGTACATGCACGGTTCGCAATTAGGGGAAGTGTGTTTCTGTAGGTAAGAACTAAATGTTGTGGACACAAAGATCTGGAATGACTCCTCATGGGCAGGTTTGACAAGGGAAAGTAGAACTTCTCAGTGCATGTTTTCTGTAAAAAGCCAGGTAATAAATGCTTTGGGCTTTGTAGGCTACAGATCTCTGTCACAACTACTCAGCTCTTTAGAGCAGGGCAGTCCCCAACCTTTTTGCCACCAGAGACTGGTTTACTGGAAGCCAATGTTTCCACAGACAAGAGATGGGGCTGGTTTCGGCATGAAACTGTTCCATCTCGGATCATCAGGCATTAATTGGATTCCCTTTCATGCCCAGATCACAGTAGGGTTCGTGCCCCTGTTCCTAGGAGAATCAAATGCCCCTCACTGCTCTGACAGGAGGCAGAGCTCAAGTGGTAATGATGGCTCACCTGTGGCTCACCTCCTGCTGGGCAGCCTGGTTCCTAACAGGCCATGGACCTGTACCTGTCCTTGGCCTGAGGGTTGGGGGCCCCTGCATTAGGGCACCAAGAAAGTCACAGACAATATGTGAACAAATAAGCAAGCACGGATGTATTCTGAGAAATTTTGTATTAAGGACAATGAAATTTAAATGTTATATGATTATTCATGTGTCACAAAATATTACCTTTTAAACATTTCTTTCAATCATTTACAAATAATTTTTAAAAGAACATCCTTAGCTCATGAGTGATGAGCTGAATTTGGTCTGGGGGTTGCAGTTGGCCAATCCCTGCCCTTGGGGGGATAATTAAGGAGAGCATTCCCTGTATTGAGAGGCATGCTCAGAATCAGAGTGGCATGACAAGTCCTGGGGTTTCTAGAGAATTACTACTGTCTTCCTCAAGTGCCAGGTGTAGCCTAGGGCATGAAGGAGATGAAGTTAGACATCTGTGTTGGGACTGGATTATGAAGTGTGTAGAATTCCACATAAAGAGGTTGAATTTTATGACAATGGGGAGCCCTTGAAGTAGGTTTTAAGCAGGGATTTACCACAGTTCAATTTAATTTTAGATAGGAAAAAATGAATAGGAGGATTGGAAGCTCTAGCAATAATTCATGTGTGCACTTATGAAGGCCCCAACTAAAGCAGAGTCAACAGATGTGACAGCAGGGGAAGTTCCAATCACTGCTTAAAAGATGGGATTGATTGGCTTTGGCGGTTGAATAGGTAGGGAGGAAAAGATGCCCATTGTGGCTCACTTGTTAGTTACGCTTTCAAAGTGAATCAAAAGAAGTAAATCTCATAAAAATACTGAGATATTCTGCAAAACCAAGCAAGTATGTGTATATAAATATGTGTGTGTGTACTTTTATAATTCTAAGAGTAATATGTGCTTATTTTAATTAATGCAAGGCTAGATACTGTAATAAACCAATTATACAATTTCAGTGACTCTGTATATTTCCTGTATACCACTTCAAATCCTTTGAACTTCACCTCTTATTTCAGCCATGTCAGTCATAAATGGCCTAATTCAGACATGACATAGCAAGACCTTACCTCAGACATGCATTAGGCACCTCCATAATTCTGACCTAGGACATCTCTGACTGATTGGCAAGGAACACTTTCATGACATACTCTGTGCAATCATATGCAGCCTGGAAGCCAGAGAATCAGTGCCCCAAGGACCAGCTCTTGACCACTTGAAGATGACAGCAGATGTATAAATGCTCCCTCCTTCTCTTCCACAGGTACACTGTTCCGAGATGAATTTATATGCCTCTTCAGAAGACCTGGTGGGATTGTGCACCAGCTGTCTGCAGTGAGGGTCAACTCAATAATGTGTCCTTACAATCCCTTTTTCTCCATCTCTAACTCGCTTCATTGACCCCTCACTCTGGCTCTCTGAACAAATTCCTAAAAACCTATCTGCCTACAGTTTTTTTATAGGCTCTGTTCTTAGGGAAAACGAGGCAAAGGAATTTGATTAACAACAGAAGCTTAATTTTTGCTTGGATAATCAAAAAATATAACTGTTCTACTTAGCAGGAAGCTTTCAAGGGGTAACGTGAGGACCCCAGTTCCTTCCACCATGTAGCTTTGTGAACTTTTAGGATCTCAGAGTCCCCTCTGAGGGAAAAAGTAGATAGAGAAGGTACAGTTGCTTTTTCAATTACACGTCTCCCATTCTCTCACATTCTATAAGGCAAGCATGGGATCACAAGGCCCTACCCAGATGCAAAGGGGCCTGGGAAACATAGTGTCTACTTAGTAGCTTTTACTTAGCAAAACTCTACACTATGAAATGGGAATAATGTATTTTGGTCAACAGTCAGTCATTTCTACTTTAATGTTCAATAAATAAAATTTGTCAATAAAAAGAGAGTAATAAAATAAGTTGAAATCACTTATAACTCCAACATCCAGAGTTAGTCACCATTTCATTTTGATGTATTTATACCTAAATTTTTTCCATATCATTATTCATATGTTTAGAAATGTGTGTATATATAAAGAAATATATATATATATATATACACACACACACATATAATTAGAAACCTCCAGTAATTACAAATGTACATTCTGCTTGCTTCATTTAACATTTTATTGTGAACATTATCTCCCGGATTTTTTATTTATTTATTTATTTATTTATTTATTTATTTATTTATTGAGATGGAGTCTGGCTCTGTAACCTAGTCTGGAGTGCAGTGGCACCATCTTGGCTCACTGCAACCTCTGCTCCTGGGTTCAAGCAATTCTCTGCCTCAGAATCCTGAGTAGCTTGGATTGCAGGTGCCCACCACCATGACCAGCAAATTTTTGTATTTTTATTAGAGATGGGGCTTCACCATCTTGACCAGGCTGGTCTTGAACTCCCGACCTCGTGATCCACCCACCTCGGCCTTCCAAAGTGCTGGGATTGCAGGCTTGAGCCACCGCGCCCTGCCACATTTTATATTCTTATTGAGATGTCAGGAAGGTGGAATTTAAGTTTGCTGATTATGTGCAACATGGAGACAAACCTTAACAGGCCCAGATGCAGCTCACAGTCTATGAGGGAGGTAAGACCTAGACCTAAGTAAACATATGTTCTATTATGTTAAGAGCTAACTTATGAATTGGTGTGCTGCTGAAATGTGACCACCAAAGACTTTATGTGTCCTAACTTTAGTCACTTACTCTAATTTTTTGTCCTTTCAGAGCTTAGTGAAAGTAATTGAATACTTTTTTGACATTTGTTTCTACAAAAACAAGACCAACTTATATTTCATGAGCATGTCAATAATTATTTCTGCCAGCCCAAAGCATGTAATGTAGTCTCACAGAGAAAAGGGAAGAGAAATTGAAGGCAATGACAATATCTCCATTTACACACAATTTAGGCAGTTATGGGGTTGTCATCAGTGCAGCTAATAATAGGACACAGAGAAATAGATCCATAACTAACAAAAATAGAATTCCTAAAGATAAATAAACTATTTTGTTTGGGGCAAGCATTTCTTCTTTTTTTTTGTGCTCTTATAACCAATACAATTTAAACATTAAAATTCTTGCCACTGAATCTGTATGAAGCTCAAGCAGAGCCAAGCCAACTTGAGGGTGTTTATTTTCTTCTTCTTTTTCTTTATTTTTGAGACAGGGTTTTGCTCTTGATGCCCAGGCTGGAGTGCAGGGGTGTGATCTTGGCTCACTGCAAACTCTGCCTCCAGGATTCAATTGATTCTCTTGCCTCAGCCTCCCCAGTAGCTGGGCTTACAGGCACCCACCACCATGCCCAGGTAATGTTTTGTATTTTTTGTAGAGATAGGGTTTCACCATGTTGGCCAGGATGGTCTTGAACTCCTGACCTCAGGTGATCCATCTGCTTTGGCCTCCCAAATTGCTGGGACTACAGGCATGAGCCACTGTGTCCAGCCCTGAGGGTGTTTTCTATTATGTATTCTATTTACCCCAAAGCTGTTATGAAAGGGGAAATTTCAAATCTTTCCTCTGTGAACTGCTGGCCCCAAAGAAATTTTCCACCATTGCTGCACCAGAGAGCAACGTGGACAAAGCGTCATGAGAGTTCCAAGATAAAAAGCTATAACTTCCATCAGGGACACAGAAAGTGTGAAAATGTTCACACTGAATTTCCTGAAGAAAGCAGAACCTACTCTACAGGGTTGCAAGGTTCAATTAATGTTTAATTACCTGAAAAAGATATTCGATGGCTAAGAACTTACGCTGGAATTAAACTGACTGGATTGAATACCAAGTTTGATACTCACTAAGAAAGTGACCTTGGCAAAGTAGTTTAACTTTCTGCATGTCCTTTAAAATAGTGCTGCTCACATGAAGTTATCATGGAGTTTCTATGAGAAACGCATGTAATAAATTATGTAAATTATCTGGAACAGTGTTTAGCCCATGGCAAGTGTTCCCACATGTTACTCCAATTTTCAAAGTGCTAAATAACTGTTGAGTGGCATTGCAGAATTGTTTTTTTCAAATCTTGAAACACCTGGGAATTTAACATTTCCTTCAACGTTTTTGAAGATTTTGACAAGTTTTCTAAAATGTGACATAGAAAAATAAAATTTTCACAAAGACCTAATTTAATTTGCAAACTAAAAGTAAAGAAGAAAAATTGTTTCTATCAGCCACGGACATATGAAAAAGTCATAGTAATAAAAAGTAATATATTTAAATAGCAATGGACAGACTAGAGTGAAAAAATGCAGATTCTTGATAAGAATATAAAGATCTTAAAAAGTGACCCATTTATAAGTGGCAATGGTATATCATGAAGATAGTCCTATAAACTAATGAGGAAAAAGGAGTATAAAGATCTTAAAATCTGACTCATTTATAACTGGCAACTTAGTATATGATGAAGATAGTCCTATATACTAGTGAGGAAAGGACGAATTATTTACTAGATGGTGCTGGGAGAACTGAATCACTATATAGGGAAAAATAATGTTAAAACTCTGCCCTACTGAGGATGGATTGGCAGCTCATATATAAATGAAAAAAAAAATACCACTGAGTCAATAGGTTCCAACATTAGAGAATTATAACCCTGTGGTAAAGAGATTTTCTTAATTATGACCCCAGATTTATAAACTATAAGGTTATGGGAAAAGTATGGATTTTTAAATATCAATAGAACAGATTTTTGTTCAAATGGACACCACACACAAGGCTAGAATGAACTGTATTTTAGCATATGGTATCTGCAATGGTGAAATATAACAATCCAACATCAATCTCACAGGAAACTGATGTCAGCAAGATGATGGATAGGCAGTCCCAACACTCATCTTCCTCTAAATCACAAACAAAAAACAACAACAAGTGAAGAAATAAATATCAATGGAAATAGCTATGGAATAACTCTGGAGTAATGCAAAAAGTAGCAGAAACTCTGGGTAGCATAGAAACTAAGGAAGACCCCATAGAAAGGGATAGAAAACACTTTGCCTGAATCACCTCATCCCCCAGCAAGAGCAGCATGGTGCTAAGAGGAAACACCTCAGAGGGATATTTTCCCCATGGGACAAAGGTGAGCAAGAGGACCCCACTGACACAATACCTGGAGCCTTCACCACTGGGGACCTCTACAGTCTTTATCAATGCTAAGCCCAACTGAAAAAGCTGCCCAGACGGAGTTCACACTGTCCACTTGTCCCAGAGAAGGAGACAATTCTATGTTTTGCATCGCAACTTTACCTGAGTAGCCACTGCACTTCACCATTTCTGGGCCCGTATTACCACTGCACTCAATTGCCTGGGGCCTAGGATGCCATAGTACCACACCATCTTTGAGTCTGTGTTGCTGTTGCTCTATGTCTCCATGGTCAAGCTGCTGCCCAAAAGCAATATTCCTAGGGCTCAATTTATTGCTGCATCCTACATCTTGGGACCTGGGTTTTTGCCTTGGGCCAAAATTTCTGGGGCCTTGCTGCCAGGGCATTCTGTACCCCAGGAATTAAGCTGATATGGCACCCCACCTTTCCAGGGACCTTTAGCATTCAAGCCACGGCTGCAGCCTATTTCTCCAGCACAAATTTCTGAAGCATGCCACAGATTCATAGACTCTAGCTCTCTGTGTGTTCTGTGCAGGCCTACACCTCAATGAGTAGATCTGCCCCCAAGGATGCAGGTGTCACAGTATTTCCTTAAGTTCATAAGCCCAGATGCACAGCCACTCTAAAAGTTTGTGTCCTGGAGCTTCCTGGAGACTACACTGCTGCTTCCCATGCTAAACCAGAGTCACTGCATTGCACCCAACCTGTGACCTTGCAATCATCAGCAGCTGAGAGTCTTTTCCCACTGAAGTCAGCCTGTAAGTTCTGAAAAAAGTAACTGCTCCATTAAATGCAGAAACATAAACACAAGAGCACAGGAAACAAGAAAAAACAAGAGAATATGACATCACCAAAAGAATAATAATTATCAGTAATTATCCAATAAATGAACATAAAGTAATGGAGATCTATGAATTTTACAAAAAGGAATTCAAAAAAATTATGTTAAGCAAATTCAGCAAGATGCAAGAAAATGCAGATAGACAATTCAACAAAATAAGAAAAGCAATGCATGAAGAAAATTAGAAATTCAGAGGAGGTTCCAAGATGGCCAAATAGGAACAGCTCCAGTCTACAGCTCCCAGTGTGCGCAGCGCAGAAGACAGCTGATTTCTGCATTTCCAACAGAAGTATCAGGTTCATCTCACTGGGGCTAGTCAGACAGTGGGTGCAGCCCACGGAATGTGAGCTGAAGCAGGGCGGGGCATTGCCACACCCTGGAAGCACAAGCAGTTGGGAAATTCCCTTTCCTAGCCAAGGGAAGCCATGACAGATGGTGCCCAGAAAATCAGGACACTCCCACCCTAATACTGCTCTTTTCCAATGGTCTTAGCAAATGGCAC